TTGTGGTGCAAAAGGATTCAAAGCTCTGTTCTTCCAAGCTGCCTGAGCTGCCTGTCCCGTTAGTCAAGTCGACTCTAAGGCAGCAACTAAAATGCACCTGGCCAGCTCTCCAGCCGCAACAAAGCCACATCTTTCCCAAGGTGCCTGCCTGTTGCTAGGAAACTACGCACTGGTACTGTGGGCAACCCCTCCCCGCCAAATCCCCAGGGCGCATGGACTACGGTCAGTGAGCTCCCTGGCTCTGCTAGGAGCCCTCGGATTTGATCCTTAAGATTCCCAGCATCCTCAAAGGGAAGTGAGAAGCATCCCACTCCCTTCCCCCTTAATACTTCCTCAAACATGAAAATGAGAAGTGAAAACTCAAGGCCATCGCCCCACCCCCTTTTATGATCAAAGTGTACAACTGCCACCTATGGCAGCCTTTTGCTGCCTCTTAGGACAGAACAACCTTCAGGTCCACTGTAGAAAACTTGACCCTCCTGCCTTCTGTGCCCGGTCTGCTGCACACTGGCCTCCCAACTCTCACCATCCCAGAGTGGGATTTAGGAGGGCAGAGAACCACATCCTGGTCACAGAGATCTTGCCCCTGGTGGGGTTTTGCTCTCCTCTCTGATTTAAGAGGACAGTGCTCTTTGTTGATGAGAGCAACAGGAGAGAGGAGAGAGTTGTGCAGGGTGGAGCAGAAAACCAGGAAATCACAAGACCGATGTCTTAGAAAGCATATCTTCTCTGGGGGGGAGGAGAAAAAACTGGGATTATAGAAAGGAATCTGACTTGTTTCTCAAGTTGTTTTGCCTTTAAAGGGCTTTCTGTGACCCTGTCATTCCCTCACTCAGGGAGAAAGAATGGATGGGGTGAGGGAGGAGGGGATGGTGGCAGCTACGGTTTCTTCCCAGTCCTAACATTATATGGCAAGAGACAGAGATTTCAGTGTCTCAAGCATGACCTAAGGAGTGCAAAGGTCAGGCCTGGGGATAAGGAGAATCAGCCAACTGGTCTCAGGCTCCAGACACCTTATAGCAAGGCTGACTATAGATCGCACCAGGCCTGGAAATAACACGCTCTACTCAGACTCAGGCCAGCAGAACAAAGTAAAGGTATTGCCCACCCCCATCAGCGCTTGAACCTTTGAGAAATTTTGGTGTAAGTTGGTCTTTTTTTTTTTAATATAGCGGTTGCTCCTAGAGCTAAGGCACAACAGACAATCGCAGTTCTGCAGCTCTGTTTGGTGGCTTACGTTGGCTCTTCCTGAGAGCCTAAAACTGGCCTCCTGCCTCTCACCATCCCTGTAGACCCCTCCTTCAGGCCTCAGCTGTGCTCCACTACTTCAGCAAGGCAGTGGTACCCACAAGATGTGACCATATTCATTGGAAATAGATTTTGTTTTTTTAAAAAATGCCAAGCTCATCTTCTATACTCCTGACGTTATGGTCACTCATCCAACATTTATTGAGGGCCTGCTACTTGCCAAGCACCATTCTGAGCTCTGGAGAATAGCAGTGAACAAGAAAGGCCAACTTTCCATGAGCAAGAAAATCATTCAAGTCAAGGGTATACATGGGCCTGGGAGAGAGAAGTGGCCGATGACTCCTAATGTGCTGATTCACTAGGTATTTTTAAAACCCATATCTGTCCCCTTCCCAAAGACTACGAAAGGTGGACAACACAGAGAAAAATGGAATCCTCAAGCGGCCCTGCAACCTGACAAATTGCTCCTCATTCTTATCACTGGCCTTCTCACCTCCATGCCTTTTGTTCCTCTTTGCTCTCCAGCTGACCCTGCACTTGGGGGTGGCGGGCCAGAGTTTAGATGAAATAGACATTGTTGGACTTAGAAGACCCTAGATCCAAGAAAGCCACTTAACCTCTCTGACCTTAGTTTTGTTTTGGTCTGAGATGGGCTCTGTGACATATTTTTGTAGCAAAGACTTTCCCAGGTATTAATGGCTGAACCGCAAATGTTCTTAAGGCCCAGACTACTTTTTTGAAGACTAGCTGGGACGCTGTTGCCATAGCTCAAGGGCGAAGTACTGGAGGACTGCGTTAGAAACGTGGTAAAGGGAGCAATGGATTCAAGAGTAAGCATAGAAACAGGAGTAACAGGATTTGGTAACTGACTGAATGCAGGGTCCAAAGGGAGGGGGAGGAGAATTCCGAGGCATCTCTGCATAATAAGCTTTGGAGCCTGAGTGACTAAGTGGGACCAGCTCAGTTTCATTAACCCTGTGAGGTTTGGGTGCTCTTCGTTGTTCCAAACAGAATCACACTGGGTCCATATCTATTTTTAAATAATGACTGATATTGGGGCATTTTGATCTCTCTGCCTAAATTGATATTGTTTTATTTTGATTACACAGCATTCCAGTGTCTTTCCATCCTCCCCTCCCTCTGGACTTTCTGACGAGCCCCAGTCTGCCTCTCCTTCGCCCAGCTACATGTGGTCCTCGAGTGCTCCACCCCGTTACTCTCCACCCTACTATCCACCTTTTGAAAAGCCACCCCCTTACAGCCCCTAAAGAGGAATGCCTGCTGGCTATTGACATTATTGTGGCTTTTGTATTTCTGCTTTAGTGGAAGTATGTAGGGTACAGCATTCAAAGTTGATTCTTCTGCATAGTTTAAAGTTTTACAATGGCCTGCCTGGCTAGGGAAAGATAGGGAAGAAGCTTATTTGTTATCAGTGGGGAGCAGGGGTTGCTAGGCTGAGCGCAGCACCTCCGAGAAGGGCAATGCACACTCTCTAACCCAGGCTGGAGAGCCATCCCAGCAAGCAGCTTGTGTTTGGACCTGCGTCAACCTGTGGCTCCACCTGTGTGCAGCAGAAGCATGGTTGCCATCTGCCTCACTTCATGTAAATGGAGTGTTGTCCTTCAGCCCTTGGCAGATTGCCACCCTAGCACCTCGGTTAAGCACCTGGCTTAGAGGCCCTATCTTTCCCTTCCACTACAGTCAGTCCCTAAGGAAAATTTCCCAGATGATGGGGTACATGGTCGTTCCAGCGCAGAGAGTTCTGGATAGGACTTTGTTTGCTTGTGTCTAGATGTTGAAAAAAGCTGCCCCTCTTTTACTCCTTTCTTCTCCGTATTGTAAAAATGGCTGTTGTGATCATTCAGCTCAGCTTTTGTGATTGGTACCTCCCAAAGGGAAAAGTGCAATATGCCTTCAAGTAGTGGAGAACATGACTGACTGATCAAGCAGCACTGAAATACACAGAGCAACATGTGAGATGTTTAAATAGATCTCAGTTGTACATCTGATAACTTAGGAGACAGCGGTTCTACTACATGTTGCACTTGCTGGAGATAGAAATCTTAAAATTCAGAGTTATAAAATGCTAGATGAGGTTCTTTGGGTCGTGATATGAATTGTTACTAATCTTTGTGACTATTTAATCTTCAAATACTGTGCTTCAACCCCAGCAAACTGCACGTATCCTGCACCCCACCCCAGAAGAATCATCTGTATTTTAATACCACTGCTCTTATTGGTCCTTTTTTTTCTGTTGAGACCAATCATGACAGCGTTCAAGATTATGAAAGTGTTACAATGCCGCTTTAAGTCTGTAAAACCTCAACTGTAGCCAACTTGACAAATTCTTCAGTACTACTGTAGATTTAAAACCCATCTGGCACATTGTGGTAGGTATTTGTACAGTTCTTTTAAATATATATAGCTTTAAACCATCAACCTGATGAATTTAACACTTTGGCACCCATGCCTTCACTTCGGAACGAACATTTTCATTGTGATCTTACGTTAACCTGAGAATCGACTGATTTACAGGACAATTGATAATCCTACACTTGTACAATGTAAAAATACAGGGGCTACAGGAGGGTACCTAACTAGACAGTTCTGCAGACACAGAACACACACAGGAGAAATTTCCAGCCAACTTCGCTACCTCCCGACTTGCTGGATTAGAGGTAGCAGGCAAACGCTGGTGCTCCCATCTACCTTGTAGACACCCAGTCATCAAGAATTATCAAGGCACAAATGCCCTCACTGTTAACAGTAAATGTTTGCAAAACCTTCAGTTGAACTTTTGGCATCATGAACGATGTCTCATCCGGATTTCAAATCTGAACAACTATAATCCTTTTGCGTTACATAAAATTACTATTATTTTCTAGTTCTGAGCATATTTAAAATTCTATTGGAGTTCAAAAAGGAATAACCAATTGACTTACTATGACAAATATCAACTTGTAATACTCAATATTTTTTGCCGTTTACACTTTACATTTTGCTTTAGAGAACATGTATGAGTATTTAATTTTTTAAAGGCACCATTACACAGTATATTCTATATTTATCACATTTCTTAGTGTTAAGATTCTATGACTCATTTCTATGTATTTTTCTTACTTTACAAAATAACTTGAAACAGTGTAGATTTTGTAACACTTAATTTGAGCAGCTTTTTTTATTACATTGAATTATAAAAAGTGCATGTTACCTTAGAAAAATTAATATTTGCTGCTATACTCTTTTGCAAAAACATTTGCTGTAATGAAGGAATTTATATTTCCAAAATGTACCTTAACTGCATTTTGTAATATTTACTGCTGTATTACTTATTCTGCTTTAAAGTATTGAACTGGGCATGAAACATTAAAATATTAATCCAGAACCTGAATAAACTGGATGTTGCTTAAAATCTGTATCACTGCCATGTTGGAAACCCAGACTGCTTTTGTGATGTTTCAAATTAATAAAACTATCCTCCTCCTGATCAACTTACATGTGTCTTCATGGAATCAACAGACATTATCACGAACGCTCTAAAGCAACTGACAGCAGCTGACTGACTTTTGACTTTTATGGTTCAAGATACAATGGGCATGCGATTAACCAACATATAAAACCTAATGGGAAACTCTGTCATGCTGTCATCAGAAATACAGTTCCAGTCTCCTGCTACAAAAACTGAAAAGCAACAGAATATAAAAGTCTATATAGTTCCTGGAAGGTAATCTCATAAAAAATGCACTCAAAAATCAGAATTAAAACATTTTATTTTTGCCACAAGAAGCTCTATGAACTAATATCAGGTAATGGTTAATGAAAAGTAGAACTTAAAGTCATGATAGGGAAGATTGTACAAGTATGAACATTACAGTATTGGGTGCAAATGAACAAGGTTTCAAGACTGACATAGGTGAGAAAGCCAGTGCTGCTGAATTAGCATTTCATTCTTTAGAATCCACATGCCTTGACAATATAAAATACCTTGATCATTTTTACTATTTGTTTTTGGTACAACGGGAAAAACCGCAGCGTCAATTCTTCATAGTGGTTGTATGTGGGGGATCATTACCAGCAAAATGATAATGATCATTTAAAATATGTTAAGTGAATCTTGCAAGACTGCCATGGCATTTAAAAATCTTTGCTCAGTTTGAGCATTTTCATTTTGTCATTTCTTTTTAACAAATTGCTATTTGAAATAGTTCCTATCCGGAATATCTATAGGTAATGTAGCATAGGAGCAAATTTGAAGCCAACTTGAAAGGAAAAAAAAAGTTCAAATACCAGAAAACTAAGTATAAAATAGGAAAAGCCCATGGTAAGTTTTAAACAGCATCTTGCTACAGATTTCCAACCCCATAAATACTGGGAGTGAAGGGTTTTAACCCCAAAGGAGTATTCCACATGAATTCTGAACTTTGGATATAGAGACTTCTAGAAAAACTGAAACCCTGACATACATGCAAGTAAGAGTCTTCTGGCAAAAATACAATTTAAAGTGAATTTTCCAGTTTTCTTCCTCCCCCAAAACTCCAGAAGATACCTTCAGTAGGCAAAGTTTGAAATTTCATACTCAGAATTTACATAGAGCTCAGCAGCAGCAAATAATTATATCCAGATAATTCAGAACAGATAGTTTTCCATTATAGAATTAATTCCTGGTTTGTCATAATAACCTTGTAGAAACTACCAAGTTTTATTATGACAGACTAATTTATGTAGCAGTTAAGTCTGAAAGGACTGGAAGCTCTGCTGGCATCAGTATCATTCACAACTTGAAGAATTATGTCTAACTGGTGGGACAGCATTAATGAAACAAATTTCCATTGAAAATATTTCAGAGTGTACCCTATGGTCAAAGAGTAATGTTACCAATATCTACACAAAAAGGAAACAGATATTCTAATTCCAGAGATCAGAGTCTTAAGTTGTAAGGTAATTTAAAATTTTCCAAGGATTAGTTTACAAAATGGTCTGAAGGTCTCAACTCACAGAACAGAGAACACATAGCTGCACATCATTCCCATCCTCGGTATGCAAACGGTTATATTTTTCTTTCTCCTTGTATTATTGCAAATACTGATGCTGGATACCCTCAGATACCATCTTAAACACTGAAACCATTATCTTCACATCTAGTTCACTATCAGAAGAATGATGTATACATGGGAAATTATGATTAAAGCTTTAAGTTCAAAGTCAAGAAATAAGACTATTTTCAAAAATACATGGTTAAGGAGAAAGAAAATATCTATGTTGAATTAAGAAATACTTAAGCAAGGTTACAAATGACTAATAACTATGCACAACAATCTCTTTCAGTATCTATTAATTTTTTTCCTTTGCAAAAAGTCATTTACAGAAGTTCAACAAGTCAATCCTGTTATAAATGCTAGACTATATATTTGTTCCAACCTGCTTCCCTTTTAATACTAGCACTTTAATAAGTTTTGACTTTATTTTCTAAGTGTTTAAATGTGTCATTTTAAAAGGGAGAAAAATGGTATTTATTGTTCTCAAGATAAAATGGGAAATCAACAAGCCTATTTAACTTCCAAAGACAGCTTCTGATCGCTATAATATTGCAGCAATTTGCAGATGGAATGGAACTTATTTTAGAAGGGGTAAAAACCTAAATGGTCTTGCTGAAAGGACAATACTAGATCACTGATTCAACTATTTCAAAAAAAAAGTCCTATTAGAGATTCTAAGTAATATGAACATTTAAAAATATATGCCAGTAGCCTCCTGCCCAAAATATGTAGGAGTCTCATTTATGAAATTTGTCACTTATAAAGATGTATACATAAAAATTTACTTGGTGGTTTTCAAATTCAAAATTCGAAAAATTTCATGGGACTATTTTTAACCATACTGAGCAAAAAGTAAATCTCCATTCACTTCCATGCTCTGTCTCTATCCCGTTAAAAGCACAGAATTCCAAACAAACACGACAGAACTTTTCATCTCCTATCTGCATTATGGAGATTTGTTGTTTTCCCTTAGTATTTTTGCCCATGGAAACCACATTGCAAAAATATATATATATACTGTATATACAGTAGTCCAGCCACCAAAGTCTTTTCCAGACTATGGCGATAAAAGTAAGATTTCTCATTACATAAAACTAATTCATTCTTCAAATGAGACACTTGTCTGCATGGCCATTTTCATGGGGGGCGGGAGGCAGGAGGTTGCTATCTATTTGGACTAGCAGTATACACAACCAAGCAGAGACTCATTCTGAAAATTTTCAGGACAACTTTAGAAGTTCTTGTTACCTTTTTATGCCATATACAAAACACAACACACATTTATAGTCTCAATATTAAGAAAATTGAGAATTCAGCAGTAAAGTGCTAACACGGAAGGGGAAAGTTGCAAGACATACTAGGGTATGCTAATAACTCCAGTTATTTTCAAAGAACATTCAGACTGCTTCAGATTCTATTCAGGAAACTATCTCTCCAAGCTTTTTTTTTTTGCCTCTTTTAAATGTGCTGAAAGCTAACTATATAAACAGATACTGGGGGAGGGGGACTTCTTAATCTCTATTCACACTTCCAGAATAATTTGTTCCTAAAAATTATTAACAAATAATCCAACTAGACTACCTTCAGATGACGTGGCAGATCAAATTAATTTGTTTTACAGGTCTTCTGAAAGCCCTGCCCCTTAATCCAAACCAAAACTTTCTGATTTTTCAAAGTTCAGTAAGATTCTGGTATTATAAATTCAAACTCAGTACTGCCATCTGTTACATTCTGTTTAAAAATTGAATCATTTTCCTGCTGAATAAAAATATCTTCCCAGGTCATTGGCTTGTTCTGAGGAGTAGATGTGGTCCCTACTGGAGGTTCTTTCCCAGCATCAACCTTATACCCAACACCATCATCCTTCATCACAGGCATAGTGCCTGACCTATCAGAAAGGTATGCATATTGTCTGATCTGTAAAGACCTGCACGGATGTAAACGATAAAGCTTCGAGTCTCCAGAAGGATCTTGACTATGAACTGACTTTATGTGTGAAGACATGAACTGATAGTTGATGAAAGATTTGCCACAGGCCAAACATTGATACCTTCGCTCCCCTGTGTGATGAATTTCATGCTTTGTGCGATATTCTGCAAGAGGAAATACCTTCTCACAGTAACGGCAAGGATACTTCTTCTCCCAAGAATGAATGTTAAAATGTCTCCGCAAGCTTGTCAGACAGACATAGGACCTTTTGCATACAATACAGATATAATAGACCCTTCCATCTACTATTAACTCATAGTGATCATCGTGTTTTACTTTCATACGTTTATTTGCCGTCTCACTGCTAGATGTTTTTGGTAGCTCATTCTCAAGTCTGGCCTCCCCTTCGTCAGGGTCATCTTTGACAGGGATCACTATATCATAAGTATCTTCACCGATATTTGCATAAACCTTGCAACCCGTCGACAAGCCTTCGATTTCAGTAGCTGTATCTAAAGTAATGATCTTCTGACCCTCCATTAGATGTTTTGATCCTAAACCTGGATCATTAGTGTTTCTAGTAATTATATCTGAAATTTTTAAAGAATTGTTAAGTGGCTCTTGCAGAAGTGTAGGAATTTGCATCTTCTGTATCAATGATCCATCAAAAGTGGTATTTGGGGGGTTATCAGCCTGTGGGACCAAAGAGGTATTACTGACCGCTGAATCTGGACTGGAGCTAATAGTGTCATCATCATCATCTATAATTTCCTCCTCTTCCTCTTCATTGGCCTTGTTTCCTGTTAAAACAGCACTGTTTGGTGGCTGCTGATTCTGCACAAGTAAATTGATTGAAGGAGACATATGATTTGGAAGTGAAGAACTGACATTTGGTGGTGTAGTAAGTGGTGTCTGATTTAACAAAATAATATTGGGAGTCAGATGTGTCGGGGCCGAAGATACCAGCACTTTTTCACTTCCTTGTGTTTGGCTCAGAGTTGCCTGATTCACAGAAGTAGGAAGTTTCTGAGTAGGTGTGATATTTGTTAAAGGGGGAGAGCTATTGCTAGCACAAGGTGCAATATCTGAAATAGCAACAGAGCCTGGGTTAGGCTGGACCTGTGCCACTGCATTGGTACTCGGTAAAGTCTCCTTTGCAGGCAGAATCTCAGAGCAGAAAATGACGTCATCGTCATCATCATCTGAATCGGTAACAATGATCTTTTTTGTCTCATAATCTTCAGCAGATAAGGAAAAAGACTCTGTTATAATAGGCATTATAGTAGCCCCATTATCTTGGGCTTCATCTTTTGATTTTTGTATTTCAAGGTTCTTGTCACTAGAACCAGGAGGTAAGGTTTCTGCATTACCATCTTGAGCTGTACCTGAGATGCTTTTAACCTGTGACAATGGAACACCAAGCTCTGCTATAAATTTAACTCCTAATAACTGCCCTGATTTAATTAACTCATCAAGTAAATCTGATCTAACACGAACAATTTTAGAACTATAGATATAATTGAGAATTTCTGCAAAGATCTCTGCTCTTATAAAGCTCAGTTCAACAACTTGCCCAGCAACTGAGAAGAGCTGATGGAAATAAGTACTGGAAGCTGAAAGAATGTTCCTGTGGGCTCGGAATTTTCGGTCTTCCACAATAACAGTGACATCGCAGAAGAGTCCATGGCCACGTTGCTCATTCAAGGAGTTCAGCAGACTGCCAGAGTATTGAATGTCTGTAGCAGAAATCAGTTTTCTAGTCTCCATGTCTGTAAGAGAAAGGGAGGAGATGGGAGATTAGGATAGAAAAACAGAAGTACCTCGTCATTCAGAATTTCAGCTACAGCATCATTAAATAGTTTATTCAAGTTTTAACCAAAGTTTGGCATAACTTTTTGGTTTTTATATAAATTGTTCATACAGGCTGGTTTTTAAACCACATGTCAAATCTCATGACTTCCCCCTGAGAAAAGACAAGCAAGTTTTAAACTGATCTACAGATTTGAACACTAATCTCTTCCTGTGAATCAGTTACATGCATCACCACTAAGCAATTTTTAAAGACTAGAACTAATTTTTCTTAGTTCCAATTTTGGATTTTCTCAAAAAGAGTCAAGAGTTAATTTTTAACTACCTTAAAACTTTAAGAAAAATCTTCATCATGAACAAATAAGTTATTTCACCTGTAAATGAGTGACTTAAATGTCAGAAAAGCCTTTTTTGTGTGCAGTACTGAGTCTGAAACAGTCTTCCTAAATTTTAACTTATCTTTAAGAACATCTTCAAAAGCTACTCCCTGTAGCCAATGACTAAATTAGCATTTATAAACACTGGCGATGATTAACTCTAAACTTCCCATTATATTTCTGTTCTTATTTAAATTGGGATGCCTCATCTGAATAAACTATGAAACACCTTTCTTAATCTCTCCTCTTTCTTCATCCCTTGCCCCTTCCCCTCACCTCTTTACCCTTACAATCTCCAGAGGTGGAATGTTAAACAGAGTGCCAGATGAAGTCAACAGATGCTGTTGTGAAAAAATAAAACAAAAGAAAAGGAAAGTTTACTATTTCTTAAAGCTCATTTGCAAGAAAACACAAAACAATTCATTTTGTTGGTAAAGAAGTAGGTGCACTGATATGAGAACTTTCTTCACACCAAATACATTAGTGAAAACGAAGACATAAACTTACCGGAACAGAGCAAACATTACTCTAAAAAAAGGGGGAATGTCAGTAAGTCGTATTGCTGTGTACCACCCCCTAAACACTTTTTGGCACTTTGCAGAAGACATTCCCAGTAACAATGACACTGAATTGTAAAAAAAAAAAGAATCAAATAAAAAGTATATATAATAGAAATTAGTTGATAAGTACTTTTGGAAAAGAAATTCTTCTATTGCTAATATTCTTTCCCTTTAGAGTTAGCAAAATAGTACCACTGTCACAGTGCTTAAGTTATATACACATGGAAGGCAGGGTGTCTCAAATATCTTCTCAATTTTTCAAAATTATAACTTAAAAAAGTAGGAGAACGTTAACAGTACCAAGGAATTCCAGGTTACCATAAAAGCATTAATCAGAAAGTGTGACCTTTGGACAAGCCAGCAACCAGGGCTTCCGAAATATGGGGATTTCGGCACAGGTTACTTTTCAGTGGATAGATGGGTTTTTCTGAATAAGGTCCCACAATTTTTGTCCTCTGCAAGTGGGTTTTCCCAGTAGGGAAATGCTTCACATGTACGTGTCCAGGTGACACTGGGACTTAGATTCATTTTGTTGTTTAGGTTTCCACCTCTTCCCCGTTACGGTGGGCCCAGGAACAGCACAATCGGTCTGAACCTACCCCAAACAAGATCTGCGACCTGACTGTAGAAAAGCCATTCTGCATCCCTGTGAAACAAACCCTTGACTGAGGGCAGGTGAAGGTGGAAGAGAGAGAAACGCCACCCGCGGGAGTGAACCAACCAACACGCGGTTCCCTGCGGCAGCTGAACCCCATCTCCCTCCTTCCCCTCCCTCTTCCCCATTTGCACCCGGCCGGCGGCAACCCAGGCTTTTCACCCCAATTCACGTGAAAAGGCAGCTTCTTGCAAACACCGAAGGAGGCAAGGCCAGCCCAGCCAGGGCGGGGGTAGTAAGGCGAGCCGGGGAAAGTAGAAGGTGGCGAACGGGAGGGTGGGGTGTTGGGAGGGGATGAGGCCAAGCAGGAGGCATTGTTGTGCCCTGGGAAGGGGACGGAAGGGGAGGATGGGCCCGGCAGAAAAGCTCTAAATCAAAGTAGGGGCTGGGAGGGAAGAAAGAGGCGCAAAAAGGAAGGCGGAGGGGCGAGGAAAACGCCCAGCAGTTCTCCGCCGTGGGCTCCCCACGCTCCGGGCCTACCCGGGGCGCCGGCAGCCCCTCGGCCCCTGCCGGAGGAGGGAACTGCGCCGCGGCCCTCCGGGTCCGTCCCCTCCTTCGCTCCCGGGCCCACACAAAGGAAGGGCCGG